TAAGTGCTATAAGTGTCTTCTATCCTGAGCAATCAGAGCTATCCCGTTGCACAGACGAACCGCCGCCGGCAGTGAGTGCAAAAGGAACGGCACTCGACAACGCCAATCTCTGTGAAGGGTTGCAAGTTTCACCTCAATGCACATCAAAAGTAATAATTTTACCTCGCGTTCGAACACTCGACAACGCCAATCCCTGTGAAGGGTTGCAAAATTCATCTCAATGCACATCAAAAATTGCAACTTTACCTCGCGTTCGAACACTCGACCACGCCAATCCCTGTGAAGGGTTGCAAAACTCATTTCAATGCACATCAAAAATTGCAACTTTGCCTCGCGTTCGAACACTCGACCACGCCAATCCCTGTGAAGGGGTGCAAAATTCATCTCAATGCACATAAAAAATTGCAACTTTACCTCGCGTTCGAACACTCGACCACGCCAATCCCTGTGAAGGGTTGCAAAATTCATTTCAATGCACATCAAAAATTGCAACTTTACCTAGCGTTCGTGCATTCGACCATGCCAATCCCTGTGAAGGGTTGCAAAATGCCAATCCCTGTGAAGGGTTGCAAAATGCAGCTCAATGCACCCAAACCCTGTGAAGGGTTGCGCGGCGCCCGCAAAATGTGTAACTTTACCTGGCGTTTGAACGCCCGAGGATGCTGCCCTGCAAGGCAATGCAACACGGCCAAGCAAACCACAAAAAAAAAAAATTCCCAAACACTGTCACAAGTATGTTCAGATGAAAAAGTGTTTGCGCCGACCCTTTCGCAAGACAGCGTCGAGGCGGGCAAACACTGTCCTAAGTATGGCCAGCTGATAAGATGAGAATAAGCAGAGAAAAATCTCCACACCGGCCCTTTCGCAAGACAGCGTCAAGGCAGGCAAGGAAGCGTACTAGCTGTAGTAAGATGCTGCAATGTATGCAAAACGCTGCAACGTGTTTTCCCTTTCTTGTCCCTTTCGAGCCAAACGAGGCAGGCAAGCAACAGACACCAGTATAGGAAGATGACTGGCACATGCAAAAACAAATCTCGCTTCCGAGCCTGCAGAGCGCGCGGCTCTTGCAGCTTTTGCTGCGACACCAGCTCATCGGCCTGACAGCTATACTTCACTTCAGAGCACAAAACATCCCACCTGGCGACGACTCTGACGCCTCGCTGCAACAGAAGCTGACATGGACAATCATCCGGAACGCCAATTCCCCGTGAAGCCTGCTCCCCGAATCTCGCTTCCGAGCCTGCAGAAGTCGTCGGCCAGGCAGCGGCGCGGTGCGCCGTCGCAAGACAGCGTGCGCGCCGTACAAGCGCATGAATATATGTGTCTATCTATCTATCTATCTATCTACATATATATATGTGTATATTATTCCTATCGATATATGCATTAAAATATGCTTTAAAAAAAATGTCTCGCTTCCGAGCCTGCAGAGCGCGCAGCTCTTGCAGCTTTTGCTGCGACACCGGCTCATCGGCCTGACAGCTATACTTCACTTCAGAGCACAAAACATCCCACCTGGCGACGACTCTGACACCTCGCTGCAACAGAAGCTGACATGGACAATCATCCGGAACGCCAATTCCCCGTGAAGCCTGCTCCCCGAATCTCGCTTCCGAGCCTGCAGAAGTCGTCGGCCAGGCAGCGGCGCGGTGCGCCGTCGCAAGACAGCGTGCGCGCCGTACAAGCGCATGAATATATGTGTCTATCCATCTATCTATCTATGCATCTATCTATCTATATATATATATGTATATATATATATATGTATATATATATATATATATATCTATATCTATCTATGTATCTATCTTTCTATATATATATATATGTATATATATATACATAAATATATATATATATATATATATTTATATTTATGCATTTATGCATATATATATATGTGTATATGAGTATATTATTCTTATCGATATATGCATTTGCCAATCCTGCCAATCCCTCTGAAAGGTTGCCAATTCACCTGTTGCACACCTACCGATTAGAACAATCGAAGAAGCAAATCCCTCTCAAGCCAATCCCTGTGAAGGGTTCCGCGAGCACCGCAAAATGTCTAACTTCACCTCGCGTTCAAGCACTCGACAACGCCAATCCGTGTGAAGGGTTGCAAAATTCATCTCAATGCACATCAGAAATTGCAACTTTACCTCGCGTTCGAACACTCCACCACACCAATCCCTGTGAAGGGTTGCAAAATTCAGCTCAATGCTCATCAAAAATTGCAACTTTACCTAGCGTTCGAACACTCCACCACGCCAATCCCTGTGAAGGGTTGCAAAACTCAACTCAATGCACATAAAATAATCCATCTCAATGCTCGTCAAAAAATGCAACTTTACCTCGCGTTCGAACACCCGACCACACCAATCCCTGTGAAGGGTTGCAAAATGCCAATCCCTGTGAAGGGTTGCAAAAAAAAATGAACTGCACTGTGAAGGGTTGCGCGGCGCCCGCAAAATGTGTAACTTTACCTCGCGTTTGAACACCCGAGGCAGCGAATCCCTGTGAAGGGTTGCACGGGCACCGAAAAATGTGTAACTTTACCTCGCGTTTGAACGCCCGAGGAAGCGAATCCCTGGGAAGGGTTGCACGGGCACCGCATTAAGTTAAAAAATGTGTAACTTTACCTAGCGTTTGGGCCCTCGCCCATGCCAATCCCTGTGAAGGGTTCACCCGGGCGCCTAAAATGTGTAACTTTACCTCGCGTTTGAACGCCCGAGGCAGCGAATCCCTGTGAAGGGTTCACCCGGGCGCCTAAAATGTGTAACTTTACCTCGCGTTTGAACGCCCGAGGCAGCGAATCCCTGTGAAGGGTTCACCCGGGCGCCTAAAATGTGTAACTTTACCTCGCGTTTGAACGCCCGAGGAGGCGAATCCCTGGGAAGGGTTGCACGGGCACCGCATTAAGTTAAAAAATGTGTAACTTTACCTAGCGTTTGGGCCCTCGCCCATGCCAATCCCTGTGAAGGGTTCACCCGGGCGCCTAAAATGTGTAACTTTACCTCGCGTTTGAACGCCCGAGGCAGCGAATCCCTGTGAAGGGTTCACCCGGGCGCCTAAAATGTGTAAATTTACCTCGGGTTTGAACGCCCGAGGAGGCGAATCCCTGGGAAGGGTTGCATTCCCGATGGACGACAACGGTGCCACCCCCTGGCTTTAAAAGAGAGAATTAGATACCGAGATGTAGAGAGTAAGTCATAGAGGCATAGAGTCAAGTAAGTAAGTAAGTAATAAGTAAGCAAGTAAAAGTAAGTCAAGTAAGTAAGTAAGTAAGTATAAGTAAGTATAAGTAAGTATAAGTAAGTATAAGTAAGTATAGAGATAGCATAACATAGAGTCCAGTGTCAAGTGTCAGGTAAGTTAGTAAGTAGATTGAAGTAAGTAAGTAAGTAAGTAAGTCGTAAGCATAACATAGAGTCAAGTATCAAGTGTAGAGTCAAGTATCATAGAGTCAAGTGTCAAGTGTAGAGAGTCAGTCATAGAGGTCAAGTAAGTAAGTAAGTAAGTAAGTATCAAGTGTAGAGTCAAGTATCAAGTGTAGAGTAAAGTATGGAGTCAAGTAAGTTGATTCTATGTCTGTCATCTATGTACTCAGCTGCGGCGTTCCACACGGAAGAACCCTTCGCGATGCTTTCGGGAATACCCCCAGCCAAAAAAAAACGCATTAATTAGACCAAGCCCAAATTTGTGGGACCGGTCGGAATTAGCCCCCGAGCCGACGCATTAAAGGAGCCCATATTCCTAAACCGACCGGCACATTAGTTCTCGAGTTTAGGTCCCGATTTTCGTGGTAAAAGTCTTCGAGAATCCAGGTCCGCTACAGTCCAATTTCCAGTTCTTCAGGGCTGCTATGAAGTACGAGGGGGAACAGATTCTGACTGTGAAGATGAACATTTCTGCAAGCCTCCATTTTCTGCCGCTGGAGAAACCATGGCAGGGCTTAGTGTGCTGGTCGCAAATTATCACCAACCAGCCAGTTCTAGATGCAAAATGGAAAAGGATCCGAAAAGAGAGTAGCCGATCTCGCTGGTTCGTAACGTTTTGTTCGTTGCTCCGGTTCGCCTGACGGAAAGTCTCATTTCACTCATGACTTGTTCCATGAGGTCGTGCAAGGTTGACGATGCGGGGTGCATCACCAACCGCAACTACCCGAGCAGCGACGCACATGCTGTCTGCGGAATCTTTGTCGGCGAGTCGAATGAGCGACACCTCTTCTGGGAAAAACGGCCGGAGTTCGCTCCATTACTCCTCGACGGCGAAGAGATAAACCTGACTGATTTCGATTTTGGGATTGGGCCCGTGCCACGAGGCTTCATTCTTCTGCGAGGAGGTTCCAGATATGATTCTTTCAAGCTTTGCCTCGAGGACCTCGAGGCGCAGCGGTGCAACGGTGCAATGAACCGTTTGTGACAAGTTGGTCCAACGCCCCACGAGTTGCAGGATTGGATTGTCGAGCAGTGGTGGTTTTGGGCCATAATGCGCTTAAGCAGCATTCCAAGGGTTTTTTTCTGCCCATGTCCCTTGTGGCATGCGGTTGAAGCGTCAAAGTCGCGAAGCTCATCGAGTCCTCATGTAGGCGTAGCTTTTCTGTAGTATCGACTAGCATCCCAAGGTCAAGCATTGGGAGCTTGTGCTGCGCCTTCGGCTTCTACTGGTTTCACCTGAAATTTCGGCTGAAGGCATCCATGTTGGCGGCATGCGTCTTCGGTAAGTTCCGGGAGGAAGGTTAAACACACAGGCAGCATCCGAACTTTTCTTTCCCGAAGCGGTTCTGCTCTGCGGCGGAGTAATTGGCCTTTTGGCAGTAGGATGCAAACTGGAAGCAGCTTGTGGGCTTTTAAGTGAAGCTGGCTTCATCCACCGTGCGTATGGCACCCGTCAAGCACTGTTCACAGGGACACCCGCTTTTGTTGCAGGAAGAAAGAAAATCGCAAGAGAAGCATGGAGAGCGCTACAAACAGTGGTATGCCCACTACCGACATGCTATGTACTCGATCATACAGTCTTCTTTCGATGAACGTGCACCAGGACTGTCGGTAGTGTGTCTATTGTCTACTGTTGTTTTCGTTCCGAGTTGCCGCGCATGCCCATCCCGCATTCTGCAGTTTAGTCCAGGAGTCAAGATGTTCATCTTAAAGAAGCCCACGAAGCTTGACTGGGAGCATGGTTATCTCTTTCAAGCAGCTGGAAAGCTGCAAGAAGACATGTCGGCGACTTAATTATGTAAGTGGGAAGTACCGAACATCCCGGCCCAGCAGTGTGAAGTGGTCGATCATGAGGACATCATGCCCCTCACAACCGAGGGGGAAAGCGTTCAAATCGAAGAAGCACCCCTTCTACGTTGACGGGAAATTGGTCCTTGACTACAAAAGCATCACCTTTGCATCGCAAATCTCCCTCAACTCCTTGGGTCTGAGCCTTGTTCGATGCATGCTGCAGTATTCGCCAGTGCTGCACTCATTTTACCGCACTCTGCAAGGCAAAGAGATCAGCAAACACACGGCAGACAGGCGTGCCGTCATCATTGCAGCGTGCGACGTGAAGGAAGTCCTCGAGGTGAAGAAGGTGGTTCGGGAACACAATAGCAACAAAGAGCGGCATGGATCGCACGGGCGCGTCTGCGCCTCACTTGCCCGATGCAGATCACCTGAAGCTGACTTGCTGAACCGGAACCGAGGCAAAGTTCGCTTTCATGCCGCTGTTCAAAGACGACCTCCCACAGCGTGAGGGCGAGGCACGGGAGCTAGAGCTTCAGCGTCAATCCTTCAGCCATAAATGCAAAGGACCCCTTCGGCTTAAGCTTGCAGTCTGGCACAGTCCGGCACAGCATGGCCCCATGGGCCCATGGCCAGGGCGTCAAGCGGTTCAAGTGGTATTCGTTCTACCGCTTCTCGGTGATGGCCAAAATGCAGATTGCTGTGGATGAGGGGGCCACCGGACGCTTGTATCCCAATGCAGACCTGAATTCTTTTGTCGCTAGCTTGTGCAGTTGCAGAGGGGCTGCAGCGGCAGTCGACCGCTGGTTTTTCTCTGGCGCAAATTGGGCATGACCTGCATGGGGTCATGGGGGAAGCTTGCTTGCTGCAGCAATCTAGATCTCTGCATTGAGGACTGAAGCTGTTGGGCATCCAGCCAGATGTGAGCAATGACATGACGGTGCTCGAATATCCCGCTTTGGAGGAGGATCTGCTCAAGTCCCAGTTCTGCGGTTGAGAACGCCACCGCCCCATGAGCCGCCTGTTTCCGGATGTCACTGAGGAACAAGGCAAGAAGAAACGAGACGTACCCTTTTATTGCTGTAGACGACGAAAAGCTGCTGCTGGACGCAGAAGAGTTCACAATGGAGCGCATCCGGCTCGAGGACCTTCGCCGCGGGCATAGGCGGTGTTGGACGCAAAATCATAGGCTGTTTGCAGTCCGAAGGCTGCTTGGGGGCTGAGCAGTCTGAGGTCCGAAGGGTGGAGCATCTTCCTACTTGGACCAGAACACTAACGACATGAATGCTGTGATTATTGTTTCGGCGACTGATGCTGATGGAAAGGAAGCCGCCAAAGTCGTAACAGAATTTCACAAACGACACAGGGGCACCCGACAGGCACCGTCCTCGGCCAAAGTGCAGCTCTACAGAGCAGACCGTGCTGCGCTGTGCATCTGCGTGCATGTCGGGCCAGGTTATGCGCGCTTGGGCCACCGCCGGAGACGAGTACGATGACTGGGGCGGGGACCACGGCTCGCAGCCTAACGCTTTAGGGTGGGTTTTCAGGTTGTTAAGATTGTGACAGTACGCAGGATGCACTGACAGGCAGCGGCCCAGTCCGAGAAGCTCACGAAACCTGTAATTTCCTTTCTTTGAAGAAACGATGCCTTGCGCTGAAATACCGGGCGATACCGATGCTGCGCTGCTCTCGGACACGTCCTGCCAGGTGATGGCATACCTGGCATACCCCACCGGTGTGCCTGACGAAGTATACCCATACACCCCCCTGTCGCAAACAGTTGAACTTCAAAGGCGTAGGAAGCGGCAACCTTTGACACTCTGACGGTAGCCGAAGACCCACGTCTTGGACTCCGAAAGAATCGTAGCAGTAGCAAGTGTTTGCGAGGTTGTGCCTCGATGCAAATTCGTCGGAAGCCCCGACAAGACAAACATGTGGGGATCTAGGAGGCCGCAGAGAAACCCCAGAGAATTGCCGGGCGCAACGGCGAACCTGGAACAAGCACGCACTTTTGGGGTACCCAACGTGCCGAAGTGTCGCGGGACATACAGTCAGTCGCGAGCGCCTGCTACTTTCACAAATGACAAATGGACAAATGATCACACAGGTTAGCCATGCACGGCGGTTCTTGGCATGCTGCTTTGAGGCTCCAAGAGCCCGACTCCGACGCCCTGACCTCATTTGTGGACGCCTTCTGCAGAACACCGCTGCCGCATACATCTGTGCAGGCATGAGATGGCAAAAGAGGGAACTGGCAAAGCCACCACCTCCGAGCAGGCTCCGTTGTTCTGTCGGGTTCAGAGTTGGTGTTGGTATGCGTGATCTGAAAATTGGATAATGCGGTGGGCAGACTGGTCACTTGTGACCACCCCCTCGCGGGTCACTTGTGACCACCATGTGCTTCATCGGGGCTGGTGATCCGTGTGTTTCTACGCAGTGCGGCTCTATCACTACTGTATTACTATTACTGCCATTCTTATTGCATTTATTAGTGTCATTGTTTTTCTTGCTATTATGGATACTATTGTTATGGCTACTTACTAGTGCTACCACAAGGAAGCCCACCCTTGCGGTTACATTTTTTTCCGCAGCCTTCGGCTGTTTTCGTTGATCCTTTTCTGAGCAAATGCACTGGTATTTCTATCAGATCCCAAGACTTTTTGGATCCCCGAAGCCTAGATTGTTGATCCACATTTCTTTTGGGATTTCCCCACACATTTCTCATGGGGCTCGGCGTCCCGATTGGTTTAATGTTGTCTTTGCTTTTTGCTGTGTGAGCACGTGTGGCAGTTGCTGAGGGTGTCACATACACGCGTTTAGAATCGTCACCTCTGAGCTCGACATCTCCAGTGAGTGTGGTCGTAGCTTGGGCCCTGTCAAGGACTTCACCAACATATTCATGGAGGAGAAGCCGCTAGAAGGCAAACCGGAAGAACACGAGCTGCAAAGCACAGAGTCGACTTTACGGGGCATGGCCGTGGGGGACTTGCTTGCAGTCCTTGCAGCGACTGTTGTTTGAGCTGTTGAAGTTCCCGAGGCAATCCGAGGCAGTGGTAGTAGTCGCACTGCAGTGGAGCGGTACTGGTTGTGGTGGTGCAGTCGTAGCAGTAGTAACAGTAGTATTGAAGTAGTAGGAGTAGTGTAGGAGTGGAGTAAGAAGCAGAGTGGGCGTTCACGAAGGTTGTTGCTTGGGGTTCTAAGCTGCCTGGATGGCGTACGCATAAGACGTTTGAAGGAAGTGCGCTGTCTAATGAGTACATGGTACCCAGATGCTGCAGCGGTGATAACCGGTCGCCAGGGAGCAAGTGCCAGCTTGAATCCTCGGAAAGCGGCTTCGCACCTCGGCATACTTCGGCCGTAAAGCGGGTCTGAGCTTCAGGGCCTAAAGTGTATATACCGTCAAAACTCCACACCACGGTCGCAATCGTCGTCGGCGTCAGCATCAGCACTATCAGCATCGTCCTGCGCAAGCGACAGCATCATCGGCACTCTGATGTCCATCTTTTGTTTCTCACGACATCGTCGTCATCGCATCATGCTCGGGAGGTAAAACAGTGACCCCGCATTTCCTGCTTCTCCCACAGCTTCTCACTAAGTTTTGAACTCGGAGCACAAAACCTGAAAGCCAAAGCCTAATCTCTGAACCCGAAGCCTTCAACTTCCATTCGCCAAGGCTCCCGGGGCTCCGAAGCGAGCGATGGCCATGAACTGTTGCGTCCCTGGCAAGTCTGAGGCCGAAACAGCCAGAGGGGACTGTAAAACAGCGAAGGGTTTGCAGACTTTGTGCAGGACTTCAGGGAATTTCGCTGAGGGCTTAGGCTTCGGGAATGTCGAAACCTGGTCTTCAAATTGCTTTTGGACTCGGAGTGCGTGGTGGTGTTTGGCTTGATTGCATGAAGGGTTTAGGTGGAAAGCGACGCCAGAGCTTAGCCGGCAGGATGACTTAGAGATCTTGGAGCCAGACTTCCGGGATGGCAGCAAGGGAGAGGCGCCGCACGGACATGCAA